TGGCATCATTCCGGCAATAACCATGGCCGCGTCAGTAGATACTGTACGGAATGCAGAAACAACTCTGAGCGCGCATCTTCTGTGGGCTGCGTCTACTCCTAATAGGTACCTCTTTTTATTTATTGCATCTGCCCATATGGGAGCTGCATATATAGCAATAGACTTAACTACATTTGTCAATAACTGCTTCTTCTGTTGCCTAGGTCCACCTATATTGGGCATTATTCGCGATAGCGCACATGTTGTTTTAGCACATTTCGTAGCAACATATCGTAGGTGCTCTTTGAAGGTGAGTCTATTGTCAAATATTACTTCAAGATACTTGATTGCTTGTTTTGATGTGACTCGCTCATTGCCAACAGTTATTGTAATGAACTCAATCTTTTTCCTGTTGCTTACAAGAAGGACATCAGTTTTATGATCAGCAAGTTTGAGGCCTACACTTGCGATCCAGCTCCTTACCTTAGCTACCGCATCATTGCATGTTGTTTCTATATTTTCTATATATTTCCCAATAATTTCTGCGCCTTTTGGGAGCTCAAGTCTCAACACTTCATCATACATAATATTCCATAGTATTGGACCCAGTACCGACCCCCGAGGGATTACGATTATTTCTACTAGGTACTTTGGGACATTTTTCCCATGGAGTGCTGCTAGTGGAGTATCCCAACCGCCGAGTTAAATGCATTTTTAACGTCTAATATAATAATGGCACAGTATTCTTTGTCTCCTTCGAGCCAACGGTCTCCTTTAATGGCATCCTTTGCTATGGCTATGACTGCTTCCACGGCGTCTATTGTAGAGTATGCTTTCCGAAAGCCAAATTGTCTATCTGAAAGACTGCTGCCATTCAAGGCTTCCTCTAGTCTTCGGCTGATTATCTTTTCTAAAAGTTTACCGGCCGTGTCAATCATACATAGAGGGCGCTAGCCCGATGCATCTTGCGTGTTATTTCCTTTCGGTATAAGCACCAACCTTTGTGTTTTCCATATCTGAGGAAATATTCTCTCTTTTATACATGCGTCAAACACTTTCCTGAATGAATCAGCATTGACTTCTGTGGCTGTCTTTAGTGCCAGGTTTGGTATTCCATCTACTCCGGGTGCTTTGTTTAATTTTAACCCTTTGCATACTGCTTCCAGTTCTTGTCTGCTTACCTCAGGTATTTCATTCTGTGGCTCACTATCTTGCACTGTATACGTTATTTCAGCTCTCTGCGGAAAGAAACTTTTAACTATTCCTTGTAGCTTAACTGCGTCTATTGTAACTGGTGGGCGGTAGCTATATAGTTTTTTCATAACCACCTTGTAGCCCAGTCCTCAGGGATTATTCTCGACCTTATCACACATCACCTTGTAGCATCTTGTCTTACTATCGCCTTTTTTAATTTATTTATCGATATTTTATAGGCTTCCTGGAGCGCTATGAAGCTTTTACGACCCCTTGCTCTTTGACATAGGCGCCGCGCATGTTCGCATTTCCTTCTCAGCTCGGAAATTTGGTTGGTCCACCAGTATACATGCTGTCTGCCATTCCGCCGGCCTCTCTTTGCCATAGATGCGTTACATGCATTTGTTATGCAGCGCATGAGTTTTATTGCTTTGTCATTCGCACTGCCGGTTAGATGGATGTCGTCCATTAAGAGCTTAAAGACTTCTTTGTCCAAAGTTAACTCTTTCCATAGGGGATTTGGGGTAGCTGCCGCAGGAATGGCTCTTGTTGAGCGTTCATGTATTTCGAAAACAATAGCTTGGTGGTAACTATGCGTGTAGATATCTGACACTTGCCAATCCGTTAAGTTAGCTACTGGATCACTGATAAAAATCAGGTCAATCTTAGAGCTCCTACCGTTCCTTGAGAACGTGTTCTTTTGACCACAGTTCAGTAACACTACATCCAGGGTGGCCAATGCCTCAAGTAGGCACTCACCTCTGGGATTTGTCAATGTTGAACCCCACTCAACGGCCCAAGCATTGAAATCGCCGGCAATCACTATCGGCTTTATACTTTTAGCGTCGTTAACAATATCGTCCAGTCTCTGTTTGTATTCTTCGATTGATAGGCTGGGGAGTAGATAACAGCTAAAAAAACGTTATTCCGTTCACTGTACTTTTTACGTATGCTTCCCCTCTATCGTAAATCTGTTCTAGTGGAAATTTACCACACGTCCATACCGATGCCTTGTTGCATTTGCTAGTAGTCCAACTATGTTTGTCTAGAGTACTATAATGTTCGCTCATTATAGCAAGATCTATTTTTAATTCGCGCACAGTCTGCCTTAGAAGATCCTGTGCAGCTTCACAGTGGTTTAAATTCAGCTGTAGGACTTTCATCTTTTTTTACTTAGTATCCTCCTTCGGGCAGACAGGTAGTGGGGGCATTTCGGTCCTCCCGTAGTATGGTTTGCGTCAATATTTTGGTAATTTCTACAGAGAGGGCCCTCTTGACACGCTTTAGCGAGGTGGTCCTGCCTACCATATTTGTAGCAGTGTTTAGACCAGTCTTTGGTGCTTTGGCAGTTCCTTGCAACATGTCCAAAATCGAAGCATTTGTAACATCTTCTGGAGGTAACTTTTTTGAGAAATCGGCACACGGTCCATCCAACTCGTAGGACTCGTAGCTGTCCTGGTACCTCCAGGGGTGCTTCTTATTGTTTTTATTGCCGATGGTTGTAATGCTCCTATTTGTTCTTTCAATGCTGTAATTATTTCCTCCTTTGTAGTTATCTCGTTTAGGTATCTGAGTTCCAATATGATTTCTTCTGTCAGTGTTTTGACCTCAATTTCTTCGGGCAGTATACTCTTGATGTTAGCTTGATGTACCATTGTTGCTTCCGTTGATCTTTAAATTCAAGTAGAAGTTCACCTTTCTGTGTTTTCCTAATGGAGTGAACATCATCACCAACTGTTTTAAGTTCTGGGACTTCTTTTACTTTCCGGAGTATATCCGCAAAAGACATTTTCTCGGACGGTTTAATAATCACTACGTCCGGTCGAGACGGCTTTACACGCTTTTTTGTTTTTAGGACCCAGGCATTGTGCTCTTGGTTACCTTCAGCTTGTGCCTGAGACACTTCGGTGTTGCCATTCATTCCGAGCTGCGAATACAGGTAGATTGCCAATGCTTTCCTTGGTTCCTTAGATGGTGCATTATTTGATCGAATTGTCTTCGTCTTCTTAGGTGGAGTCTTTCTACTCCTTTCGATATCATCTCTCAGTCTCTTGGATGAACCTGCTGTTTGCTGCATCTGGATAGCTTGAGTACATCTGAATTTTCTCTCGCTACTTGTTTATAGAGTGACGTTATTGTAGCTACGAGATCACGCATAGCTTGGTGGTTTTATCTCCGAGTTTGCTAAATTTTTCTTTTCTCTCTTGTGGAGCAGTGTCAGTATTAAGCTCTGGTGGAGACGAGCGGGATCTCTCGTTGCTCTGTATCTCATGTGATAGCATAGGTGAGCGGGTCAGTCTTGGTGCCCTCATGAAGGGGTTTTGCCTAGGACTATCAATCACTATCAGTGACTCCTTTGCACTTTCGGTGCCGGTTGGAGTAGTAGTGCCAGTGTGTGTGGGTATTTTGGTTGACATATTCTTTGCAATTTGGTCCCAACTTAAAGCCGTTATCTTACTTTCGTAACGTAGTTACCCTTATTGTAGTTCCATGATTATCTTTGCAATGCAGGGAGGTCATGCGAGGGTTGGCACATAGCCTTATGAGTGCATGTGTTCAGAGCCAAACCGGGAGCTAAGCAGAAGATATTCTTAACTGCCTCTACACTCCAACTTAACAGGACGAATCCATGATCGTTCTTTAAGACTTGCCAGGTTTTAACGGGACGGAGACAGATAAAGCATTAGCCTGAAAGCCGTCTGGACCAGATTTCACTCTAGCCCATATTGGTAACAGAATATTTCATCCACCAGCCCATGTTATCATATCCAATCGTTTGCTCCAGTATACCATAATCAGAATCTTACTGGTATCGATCCTGATGCCTTTTCTTATAGGCTTCCTCCATTATCATGTCATCATGTCCAATCGTTAGCTGTTGTCCAGTATGCCATAATCAGAATCTTACTGGTATCGATCCTGATGCCTTTTCTTATAGGCTTCCTCCATTATCATCTCTCGTATGTGAATTGTGATGCGACAGCCGTCCCTAACATGGTATACAGACGTTGCGCATTTCCAACTCCTTCGTTGGCGCATCAATTGCTCACACATTGGAGGCAGACATTGTGCGCTTACGCGTCCCTCGATGCCATCCCGGGATGGTGGACACTTAGTTAGAGCCGGCGTCTACTCGGCTCAGCTTAGGGGCCTCTTAGGGTTTCTGTGACCTTTTAAGCCACACCCTCCGACGCCTAGCTGGATTTTAGTCGCCTCTTACGACAGGGATGCTTTACCGCGGGAATATTCTAACCCCTATCCCGCAGGGGGCATATAAAATTGTTCGTAACTGTTTGTAATTGTTCGTAACTGTTCGTAAAAAAGAGCATATATTTTAAATTGTCGAAAGCATTTTTCATGCATTCCAATCACAAAAAAAAAAATGCTTGTAACATAAGGAGCGTTTATTTTAGTTAAGAATATTTGTCATGCATGCAAATAATAAAAAATGCTTAAAAAAAGCATATTTTTATTGTTGTCAACAGCATTTGAGGTATTGACAACTAACAAGGAAAAGAGCTTTTTATTTTTGTCACAGAATACCAAAACCTTTACAGCAGTAAATTTTGACAAGTGTCAATGTTTGACAAGTTTACCATATAAAGTGCACAGAATAGGTCCGTTAATATATTTATATAAACTTATTAATTGTAAGTTTAATATGAAATTCCACTTGAAAAATCAGAATCTTCATAATAATATTGAATTATTGTTAGCAAAATTATTTGTAGGTGTATCAAATATCTAAGCTGCAATTAAATTAATATCCTTATCTTTGTTTTAATATTATTAAAATCTATTTCTTTTTTACTTATATACTCGCATAGATTTATTTTTGTATTACTTGGACCACCTGGCAGTCAAAGCAATTTACATGAAATTGGACGTGCAATGGCTACACTGATGTCAGACGAAATATTCCATGAGGTTGCCTATCGAGCCCGTAAACGTGATCATTTACTTGCTGGTATAGATGAATTTTTGGATGCCGTCACAGTATTACCGCCAGGGGAATGGGATCCTACCATACGTATTGAACCACCTGCTGCAATTCCTTCTCAAGAAGTTCGAAAACGCCCACAAGAGATAGCCAAGGACGAAATTGATGAAGAAGAGGAAGAACAACGTTTGCGTGAAGAATCAGGGCTTTCTCGAACCGGACGTTTATTTGGAGGTCTCATCGATGATGTAAAACGTAAGGCCCCTTGGTACTGGAGTGATTTTAAAGATTCAATGTCAATTCAATGCGTGGCTTCATGGATATTTTTATATTTTGCTTGTTTATCACCGATTATAACATTTGGAGGCTTATTAAGTGAGGCAACAGGAAAAAATATGGCTGCCATGGAATCTTTAATTTCTGGCTTCATATGTGGTATAGGCTACGGTTTCTTCTCTGGACAGCCATTAACAATATTAGGTTCAACCGGGCCAGTTTTGGTATTTGAAACGATTGTATATGAGTTTTGTGGGAAGCAAGGCTGGGATTACATGACATTCCGATTTTGGATCGGAACATGGATAACGGTAATATTATTAATATTGACCGCAATTGATGCAAGTGCATTAGTTTGTTACATAACGCGTTTTACTGAAGAAAATTTTGCAACTTTGATAGCATTTATATTTATTTACAAGGTAAGTACATCATAAATAATTAATTTTGAAATAAAGGATTTTTATAAAAATCTTGTGCTTGTTTTTAGGCTGTTGAAAATGTTCTGTTAATTGGCAGTAAATATCCAGTAAACCATGACGCTTATGATTGCATTTGCTCACCACCCTTAAATAGTAATTCATCTATATTAGATTATGTGAAGTATAGTAGGGGACAATGTGCTGTAAGTTTGGAGTTTAACGATTATTATTATCTGAAACTGAAAGAGATATTTATAGGCGAATAATGGTACGTTAATAGGAACAGATTGTGATCAACCTGAAAGTGCAAATATTTTCCTGATGTCAGTGATATTATTTTTGGGCACATTTACCATATCTGTTCTTTTGAAAGATTTTAAAAATGCTTTATTTTTCCCATCAACTGTTCGTCAATTTATAAGTGATTTTGCTGTCATCATTGCTATATTTGCAATGTCATTCTTGGACTTTAAAATGAATGTAAATACGCCAAAATTAGAGGTTCCACACGAACTTAAACCAACATTAGCATCTCGAGGCTGGCTAATACCACCATTTACTAAAAACAATCCTCTCTGGTCACCAATTGTAGCAGTGTTTCCAGCAATGCTGGGAACAATTCTTATATTTATGGATCAGCAGATTACAGCAGTTATTATAAATCGTAAAGAATATAAACTAAACAAAGGCTGTGGGTATCATTTGGATTTATTTATTTTATCGATATTAATACAAATTTGTAGTATTATAGGATTGCCATGGTAATATTTACATTTAAAGCAAAACATTTTTTTTTTGCAACTACTCATTCTTTATTATTAACTTAGGTTTGTAGCTGCAACGGTATTAAGTATTAATCACGTAAATTCCCTCAAAAAAGAATCTGAATGTTCAGCACCAGGAGAAAAGCCACAGTTTTTAGGTGTACGTGAGCAACGTGTCACACACATTATGATATTCTTAACTATTGGTCTATCAGTTTTATTAACACCATTATTATGCCACATTCCAATGCCTGTTCTTTTCGGAGTATTTCTTTACATGGGTGTTGCTTCTTTAAAGGGCTTACAATTTTTCGATCGCTTACTGATAATGTTTATGCCTGCTAAATATCAGCCAGATTACATGTTCCTGAGACAAGTAAGTATAAGTTATTAATATATATAAAATAATTGGTACTGCAACATTAGAAATATGATTTTATATTCGTTTAAAGGATTTTTTTTTTATATTTGTTTATAATCACATTTGCCTTACAGTAAATGGCAATAAGTAATTGGGAGAATTTTAGTATATGATGAAATTATTGTTGTCAAAATGTAAAACACATTTTTGAATTGCCCGCGCTGCGTCTTGCTTGTTGAGTCACGTCTATACTTGGGTACTGGTGTAAACCGAAGGCAGGTGTGATAATTGCAAATAAGTAAAAAGTAGAGATTGAGATATAGCTCATTGCTGCTTAGCTTTCGGACAACTAAACTGTGTTGTTGTTGATATTAGTACATGCATCCTAATCTCTCTGCTTTAAGATAATGTGATAACTTTACGACCGATGAAAGAAAAGCACGCATCGCAAAATACTTGATATCTGAAGTTTAACTGAAAGACAGATAACTAACAGTGAACGAGCTGATAAATAGGTATAACGTCAGCATTCTCGAGTAGGGGTGAAAGCGAGATGACCATATTATGTCACAGATTAGTTTAAATAGGTCAAAATTTGACCTATTTAAACCAGTCTGGAATTTGTGTTTTTTCATTTCTCAAATGAAATAACAAATGTGTTAAATTTTCAAATTTGCGGAAAGTTTAATACTTACGCAGATAACCCTCCGCTCCCCAACTTACGAACCAGCTAGTAGCAAACGGTACACCAATTAACAATTTAATTTCGACATTTGATGGTAGCAATACCTGCACAATATTACTCTTCGTATTATGTTATAAAACGCTTAGTCTGCAAAAATTAGCTCAGGTATTTTACTCAGCGGTAGATTAATGTTACATTAAATGGTTTCGTTTCCATGTACTTTGTACGTACAGTGATGATATTTCACTAGTATCAAAAAATGAAGCAGAATACACAGAGAAGATCGACAAAAGCAGGCTGACTTCAGGCGCAGAAAAATCGAATAGTAGTTGCTCTAATCTACTATTCACTTAAAGTGGCGGTGAAGAGTCTACGCGATTTTCTACTTATGATCAAATTTTGTGTATAGCTGTATTTGTGATGTGCAAGACTAAGCTGGATCGTTATTATATAACATGTAAACAGTTTGAACCAGTGATATTACACAAACTAGCATAACTGCTGTGCATCAAATACTCGCGTACCAGTAGGTATATAGAATGGTTCTTATTTGATTCTTATATGGTTGGTTCTGGTTCTTATATCGTTGCAACCGTGCCTAGAAAGTCAAAATCCTTGACGGACTAGGAAGTATAATCGCCAGTCACCAGTTCGGCTTCGACAATATGCACATTTCTACCAGTAGCCAATGAATACCTCGTTTCTCTTTAATTAACCACTTTTTGATAGCAGCAAATGTAATTGTAATAGTACGCTCGCTACGCCCAATGACATCGATGTCCTTGCAAGGAACTTGACACATTTATAAAATACTATGCCGTTACGTTCAGCATCTACCCTGCGCATTTCCATAACAAAATTGATGAGATTGCATCAATTTTGTAGGGATAGCGAGCTCAGACATTACGGCTTAGACATGATTCCTTAAAGGCTGTCGAAAGCTACTTTCTAATGGACAAAAAGATGGTGGATGTCGATATTATGTTAATGACTTTTCTCTAGAATTTGTCATAGTGTGAATATTTGGACAATGGTAGTGCAACTACATATATAAGCTATTACATACTCCCTATCAGCAAATTGCCCGCCGATGTTAAACAAACTTGCAGGAAGACCATCTGCGCCTGCCACCATATTATTCTTTAGTCGCTACATAAAATAGAGGAAGAGTTTTTTACAACGCTAAAAATTAAAAAAACACAGGCAAAACATCGAAACATTAAACTAAATGTCGATTCTATTGAAAATATTTCGTTTAATTTCAAATGAGTTTAAAGTCAACTGTTGTTAAATACACGCCACAAGATGCTATGAAGATTATTAGTCAGCCTGAAAATACTTCAAGACAGTTAGAACGGCCAGCTGCACGTTTATGTGTCGATGCAGATTACCTAACTGGATATAAATATTCGATTCATGATGGTGAATTTATAGATCAGGTGGCGTAATACAGCTGTTCAAGGCTATATTAAGCGATAATAACTACTTTTCAGTACTTACAAGGATAGTGTGAGTGTCTGCTCTGCTGTCATCATATTTCTGGTCTGTCTGCTGCAGTCATAGTGCAGATCTTTGTGTTGTCGTTATGACACTAAACTGGAGTTAGTAAAATCGTTACGCTTCTGACCTATACCAATACACTTTAAGCTGTTAAGACAATGGCAGTTGTTTTTAATTATGTCATATGAAACTGTTTTTATCGTTAAACTCAGCTCTGCCATGTAATGGGTTTACATGCTATGCAATCTATTACGAAATTTGATGTCGATTGCATAGAGTTGGAGAATGCAACAAAACATATAGTTTTATACTTTTGAGTTTTGCTATAATTTATCATCGGCAAAATATTCGAATTAGAAAATGTCAAGAATTAGAAACGTGGCAGGTATTTGACCGTACCTTTTTTGATGTATACTAATGGATGCCATAAATGTAAGCAACACTTTACAGGGAAATATAGACCTTATGGTGGAATACTTCCAAAAATGGAAGAATAAAATTAATAATGACAAAACCAAGGCTATATTTATAACTCGAAAAAGAAGACAGCATCCTCCAAGAGTGAGTGTTTGCGACACGGAGATACAGTGGGAGGATAACATAAAATATCTGGGGGTCACTTTTGACAAACGGTTCAATTGGCTTAAACATTTGAAATACAAACGGAATAGCTGCTCTAAGATTCTGCATTTATTAAAGCCGCTATTTAATAATTATCACTTCAACTTTAAAAACAGAAAGTTACTTTATACGCAAGTAATTAGACGTGCACTGTACGGATGTGTTACATATAGCAAAGCCTCAAATACTACCTTAAAGCAATTACAGATAGCTCAAAACCTGGCTTTAAGAAAACTGTTTAAGATTCCATGGAATATTAGATCAACAGACATAAATAGAAATCTTAGGATTGACTCAGTGAAAAAATATATCAGAGACAGAGCTCTAAAATTATTCACTAAAGTTGATACGCTAATTAACCCCGCCCTAACAATCCTCAAGTCCACTTCTGGACTCTCAGGAAGATATGCTGATTTAAGGTTCGTCATTAACTAAAAGACAAATAAATTATGTTTTTTTTTTTTAGCCTAGTTAAAGCCTAGTGTGGGGTAGAGATAAGCCCCCAGCCATTATAGAGTAAAAGTGTGTAATAGCACTAACTCAAGAAGAAGAAGAATCAAGAGTGAAAACTGTTTTTTTTATTGCACTTTTTTTTTATTTCGCAGCGAATAAACCCTGGGTTTTTTTTTAAATTTTCAAATTAATGATTTAATAAACTTACTACACTTTTCACAAATATCAAAAATTTATACCGACAAATTTTATTAAACTTTTTTTAGCCTTGGAATTTGTGCCCTTGAACTTCTTTTTCTAAACTGCATTTCTTGATACCCAAAGGAATTAGTCCTGTGTCTTAATACTTCATTGCATTTCCGTTGGCGGAATAGTTTCTTCAATATGTCTGCCTTCACATTGACAGACAACGACCAAATTTAAAATGCGTCGATTCCATACTTAAGTTTATTTTAATCTATTTACGATTATTTATTTTTTTTAATGAACTGATATATTTAATTATAGTCATTACGACGTTTTTTAATATTGTACAAAGATATGCAGGTAGACATATTACATTATATTAAAATAATATTCGAGTGTATTTACAACATTGCTATGTGGTTTTATACCTAGAATATTAAAATGTGCCAAGAAATAGCACATTTGTGCTGTATACTAACACATTTTTTCATACTTTTATAAATTTAGACGCTTTTTATAAACTTTGTTTTCCTTTTGACAATAATTTTATAAAAATATTCAGATAATTAGTATTTTCTTTCTACATTAGAAGAATATGGATAAAATGTAAATAAATGAAACGCTACTGAACGGTTAATCGGTCAATCGGTATGTGAAGTAGTGTAATATACAAAATTTAAATTTTCTACATATCTTGAAGAATAGTTTTTTAATATGAAACAAACTGATATATTTAGTTATAGTCATAACGACGTTTTTTAATATTGTATAAAGATATGCAGGTAGACATATTACATTATATTAAAATAATATTCGAGTGTATTTACAACATTGCTATGTGGTTTTATACCTAGAATATTAAAATGTGCCAAGAAATAGCACATTTGTGCTGTATACTAACACATTTTTTCATACTTTTATAAATTTAGACGCTTTTTATAAACTTTGTTTTCCTTTTGACAATAATTTTATAAAAATATTCAGATAATTAATATTTTCTTTCTACATTAGAAGAATATGGATAAAATGTAAATAAATGAATCGCTACTGATCGGTTAATCGGTCAATCGGTATGTGAAGTAGTGTAATATACAAAATTTGAATTTTCTACACATCTTGAAGAATAGTTTTTTAATATGAAACAAACTGATATATTTAGTTATAGTCATAACGACGTTTTGTAATATTGTACAAAGATATGCAGGTAGACATATTACATTATATTAAAATAATATTCGAGTGTATTTACAACATTGCTATGTGGTTTTATACCTAGAATATTAAAATGTGCCAAGAAATAGCACATTTGTGCTGTATACTAACACATTTTTTCATACTTTTATAAATTTAGACGCTTTTTATAAACTTTGTTTTCCTTTTGACAATAATTTTATAAAAATATTCAGATAATTAATATTTTCTTTCTACATTAGAAGAATATGGATAAAATGTAAATAAATGAATCGCTACTGATCGGTTAATCGGTCAATCGGTATGTGAAGTAGTGTAATATACAAAATTTGAATTTTCTACACATCTTGAAGAATAGTTTTTTAATATGAAACAAACT